CTTTTCAAACCAATATTTTAATATCTTGATTGCAGTTTAAATGACCACAGTAGCTTAGAAGTGTTTCTTTCTTTCTTAGAGTATTTGCTAAGTCATCCTATTTAAATCAAAACTCTAGTCGTGTCAGTTTTTTTCTCTCTTTTTCTCTCAACGTCTGGAACACTTGCTTGTAAAAGATATTTATAAATATGATCGGTAGGACTCGTCTTCATTTTAGATATGGCAATAGAGCTCATGAAAAACTGCTGAGAGTTCCCAAATATTTGATCAGGGCTAGTTATTTTGTCATGGTAGGATGCATCATGCTCTCTCTTTCCTTTTCTTGTGCGGCTCATAAGGAATGAACATGGTTGTGAGTAACTGTTACTAAGTGATGCCTAGTCCTTGCATAGCTCCTCTTGCAGAAGAAGGTTTTCTGGTCATTTTGCAGAAGGAGAAAGAAGCACAGGAAGCTGGTGCCATGCACTGAACCCCACAGAGAGTCAGGCAGGATGAGCTATTCCCATGGTGCCTTGTCCTGAACCACAGGCCCATGGCACAAACATAACTCTAAAGACAGTCCCTGACCCAAAGAGCCATCAATCAACAAAATGGAAGGCAGTATATAGATGGTAGAGAGCACTGCAAGGGGACGGTCAGGCAATATTAATCACTGTGTTAGGTGGTAATGGAATTAGCTCATCAACCTAATTATTCGTTTAAAAAACCTGTGATATCATGGCAGAGAAGAAATGACTTTATGGATGCATGTATCCTTTCCTATTCCTTGGGATGAAATTTGTTCTCTGAGGCTATTCTGGACACTCTTCCCTTCCCGTACCCCCTCCCCGCCCCCAACTATATGGGCTCTGCACTTGCTTTTATTCACTGGCAGAAAGTTCTTGCAAGAATGCATTTCATTTTCACTAATATCCCTGTGAAACATGTCACTCAGATTTATGAAGTCCTTTAGATCCTTGTGTTGGGACTGAATGTGAGTTTCCACCTTCCACTGTTTACCCTGAAGAAGTGATGAGTCAGAGCAGATTAAGGAAAAGGACTGTGTCTCTGCAGCTTGAGTTTTCCCATGTTACTGAACAATCAGCAACTTGCACTATAGCGGTATTTAAAGAGTGCAACCTGGATCAGGGTGGCCCCTGCATGAGAGGGTAAGAAATGGCTCTCTCCCTGAAGAGCAGCAGTCTCAGTGAAGGGGGATGTCTGAGGCTGCTCCACAGATCAGTGGCAGACCTCTCAGTTGCAGCAAAAAAAACCCAAACAATGTAAACATCATGCTTTTATAGTAAATGCTGTAGTTCATTCTTGATTTCAAACAGGGTAAGTACAGTCAGCTCGAAGACTTCATAACCCTGTTGATTTTAGAGAGTAAGAACTTACTTCCAGAATTTAGAGAAACTGAGGTGGTGCCCCAAAGAATTTATAATTTCACAACACACCACATAAGCGCATTCAGTCAATGGGAGAGGGAGGGGTAAATAAGCCTGGAGTGAGTTTTGTTTTCAAGGTCAGAGTTGCAGGAAAGTTAGCCATCTGTGCATTTGTTTAATAAAGCTGCTCAGAAATGTTGGTGTTTCAGCCTGTTTAAGTTCTGTTTAGAGGTTAGTCTGAGCCCTTGGGTTTCTTTAAACAGAGTCCTGATAATTTCTCTGTTGCTGGAACAGTTGCATCTGGAACGCACAGATGTAGCGGCTGCTTTGAGGAGGTTCTCAAGGTCAGGCTTTGACTGGGAGGGGATCCCAGGAAATCTGATCGCCTTCATTTGTCAGTGACTGGTGGCTGGAAAATCCTACT